TTTAGGAGCAGAATGGATCAAATCTCTGGTCGAATCCATGAATAAGCTTTCGCAGGTCCTCATATTTTTATTCCAGGATGTGTACTTTTGAGTGTCTGGTTTCTGTGGCGTACACAGATGTGTCAATGACACGTATTCATCATGCAGTGAGAGACAGGAATCATCGGTTAATTTGAGATTGCCTGTCTACATTATGGATATTCAGATCCGCCCATCGGATACAAACTGCGGAAAAAACGGCCCAGATAGAATCAGCTGCGGTTTGGAGGAGGAGGGTGGTGGCTTTGCTCGCCATCAATTTCAATGAAGCTGCAAAGTGGCGCTCACAATCAACAGCACAATCTGTTCAAAATCCTCTGGTAAAGTCAAGAATCTAATGTTTAGCGCAGGCTTTGCTGAGATGTTAGTCAGCATGTCGAAATGTTCCAGACTGTTTTTATCTCCTGACATGAGAGCCAGTGCCGGTATTGTGCTGGTTCAAAGCTCAGACAACCTCTCAGCACACAAATGTCACTCCATCCTCAAAGAGCTTTGACTCTGAATATTAACCTTCAGAAGAGGGGAAAACCCTCAAACAAAGCAAACAAACAAACACACATACACAACGACGGCTCTTTTAGGTGACGTTTCAGTTCAGGGCTTTACTCAGACCTAAAGAAAGATGTGAATATTATTGAATGTAAAGCATAGGCCTACTACATGAATAAAATGCAGGCATCGTGATTTTTCCTGACATTGCATGTCTCATTATACACGCACTCTGTCTCAGACTGTTTGTGTAAACAGATTTCATTTTGAATGCTAGGCTTTCTGTTCTGTTTCTTATTCTGTTCTGATTCCAGCTGTGAGATTTTTAATGACAAAAATGCTGGATCAGGTCAGATCAGATCAGAGGAAGCTGGGCAGAACAGCCAACCAAAGCAATCTTACAGTGGTGTGGTGGAGCTTTTCAACTAGCCATATCTGCGGGACTTCTGTATATGAGTGATCCACAATCCTTTGGTTCTGCGATGTTCGTGTGTGATGTGTGCAGCAGGGAATGAATGTGCATGTGTTGGGTGTGTGTGTGGTTAGATGAGGCTCTGCTTTTTTACTTGTCACATTGTGCACACTTACTGGACTGACAGCAGGACAGATGAGGTACAGTATTATTATCTTTAACAAAACTACAATGACATCTAAAGGAGCACATTTTTTGTTAAATTAAAGGAGAACTCCGGTCAATTTTAATATTGAGCTCATTTTTTTGTACATTTGGAGTGCTGTCAGTACAGACAAAAACGACCAAAATCGGTGTTGCCTACACCGTGTTATCCTCTTTTTAAAATTCGCACCCTGTTGACTTCAATGGGGCAAGTTCTAAACCTGCTTTTAGCCTCTTAACATCCTTGATTTGTCATTACAAATAGATGTGAAAGATATTAATAAAAATGATGTTTATTCAGCCAGCTCACATACCTGTATTTACTTCCTGGTTTCGTTCGAAGTCCACAGTAGTCGATTGTCGAGTTCGCGCGCGCGATCGTTAGTTATATTACTTACCAATGATCGCGCGCGCGAACTCGACAATCGACTACTGTGGACTTCGAACGAAACCAGGAAGGAAATACAGGTATGTGAGCTGGCTGAATAAACATCATTTTTATTCATATCTTTCGCATCTATTGCAGTCAGATTGACCGTGGTCACTCTTAATAACACCACTCACATGGCTGTGCACTTGTAATGACAAATCAAGGATGTTAAGAGGCTAAAAGCAGGTTTAGAACTTGCCCCATTGAAGTCAACAGGGTGCGAATTTTAAAAAGAGGATAACACGGTGTAGGCAACACCGATTTTGGTCGTTTTTGTCTGTACTGACAGCACTCCAAATGTACAAAAAATGAGCTCAATGTTAAAATTGACCGGAGTTCTCCTTTAAATATTTACTGTTAACAGGCAACTAATTCATTTTAATTACAGTTTAAATCACGCTATGTATATTATAAAACTTGAAACCTTTTGCAGCACATCTGCATTACACAAGAAAATGCAGCTAGATAAAATAACACTTGAGTGTGCAGAGATATATAACATTCTTAAATGATACTAGTTGGCGCATTAATAACTTTGGCTGCCTCTTAATACTAAAATGAAAGTAAAAACTAAATCAACTGAAACAAGAAATCCCTCAAATAAGTTGAAATACAAATAAAGCAGAAATAAAAAATATACAGCAAAGTATACTAACCTTGCCTGGCTCTAGCACCATGACGAGCTTCACATAGACAAGCTTCAGCTGTTCTGCTTCAGTGGAAGAGTTTGGGGTGTTAGGGGTTGGTGTTTGTGTACAGAGTCAAATTGTACAAGAAAGCTGATAAAACAGTCCTGGAGAGCTTTCTCCCACGGTGATATCAGATGAATATTTTTGATTCATATTTAATGAGGCTTGGCGCTTATCTTTCCGCTCTGCTCGAATCCACAGTTGAGTAATTGCTGATTCATATTTGATAAGGGGTAAAGAATCCTCTCCCCACACTGAGTCACCTGCACCTGAGGGGGAAAATATAGAGCAAGACCCAAACTATATCAATTTCTAATCGCTTTCCAAGTACCAATAGCCAAAGATCTTAAGAAGTGTGATCAGTGTTGGCATGAGAGAGGAGGAGAGAATGTGTGTCTGTGTCAAAAGCTTTCAAAAGGAATAGGATATGTGGTGTCTAACCGTCCGGAGTGTGGCAGTGCTTTGATGCCCGCTGATGATCAGGCAGGTGGTTTTAAGAGAGAATAAAGATAAAGAGAGGGTCTGGGTCGGGGTCCTTCCTCTGGTGGGAAACTGATTTCAGATTTAATAGATATAAAGATTTGTTATATCTTTATTCATCAAGAGTAGTTTAAAGCATAAAAAAAGAAGAAAATAATAATAATTTGATGCGTTGGCAGCATTCATAGCAAGTCTTTTGCCATGTTTATTCATAGTGATAGGTTGTAATTTCACTGGTTATCCAGAAGATGGCAACCTTCAAAAGATATGACTGAAACAACTCTTCTAGGAATTAAAATGGGCAAGAATGAAGTGTCTTTAAAATGCTTAAAGATATTTGCGTTTGTTCTTTGGTGTATTTTGTGCATTTAGGAAACGCCTGCCTTGAGTTGCTTCAATAGGTTTTTAATTGCCCTTTGGATTAATACTTTATCAGTATGACAACAGCTTCCCAGAAGTATACATGAAGAAGGTTATGGATAATTCATTACCTGAAACAAAAAGCTTCTCACATTTATGCATTAAAACGATTTTTTCACGCCTTTTTCTATGGTAGTGCATTGTGCCCTGCGCTGTCTCTTGTAAAGTTTAGCATGCAGCATGCATCATGACGAAATCTCTAGAAATGCAGCCCACATTCACAAATGGCATGCCAAACCCCTCAATTTTTCATATACCGAGATCCTTCCTTGAATATCTATGATAAAGGAAGCAATAAACATTCATTTTATGGAAATTGTTCATATAATAAATGGGTGTATGTAAATCCTGCATCAAAGGGTTGCTGTGATTTTTTTTTGTGGAGCACTGAGGTTCTCAGGGTTCCAAGTCTAATAATTGTATTTAATTGTTCCTGAGCAGCTCAGATCATTAGGAAGCCCAGGGGTCATGTGAGTTTACCGACAGGGCAGCTTTGCCTTCTTTGATTGGATAATGTTGTAAGGAGTAGAGTTTGTATATCTGAATAAAACATGACCGTGTTATTAATCATGAGGATTTCATTAATCTTCTCTTCACCTGAGACTGCTCACCCCAATGCCTGAACGCTTTCACACTGTCTCAATAATTATTAAAGGTTCAGTTAGTTGATGCGTTAGGTACCATGAATTAACAATGAACAACAATTTCTACAACATTTATTAATCTAGGTAAATGGTAATGTATAAATATACTTTTATTCATTGTTAATCCATATTTGTTCATAATGCATCAATGTTACACAATGTGAAATATTAGAAAATTAATTAGTATATGTAGAAATGAGCATTAAGATAATTGCAGCAAAAGGATCACCCATTATTTCATGTTAGTTATTTCATTAACTAATGTTAACAAATTGAACTTTATTGTAAAATATTCTATAATGAATTATGCTGGTTTGTATTTAATAATAACACTGAACAAAACAAAAAATTATTTTGCATAGTTGGTAACATTTATATATGCTAACAAATAGCATATATACGGAAGCGTATTGCATTCACTTGAGGAAAAAAATCTACTCTGTTTTTCTGAATTAACGAGTTAATTATCTCAGAATTACGAGATTATTTTTCATGGAAAAAAGTTTTTGCTCTGTTTTCTGAATTAACGAGTTATATATCTCAGAATTATGAGATATTAACTCGTTAATTCAGAAAAACAGAGCAAAAACTTTTTTTCCATGAAAAATTATCTTGTAATTCTGAGATAATTAACACGTTAATTCAGAAAAACAGTCGATTTTTTTTCCCTCAAGTGAATGCAATACGCTTCCGTATATATATAACAGTACATTGTTTGTTTTTTTACCCTAATGACCAGTGCACTCATTGGTTAGTGCCAGTGGGTCAGATAATAGATAATTACACGCTGTAATTATACTGTTCAAGATGAGTGTTTGAGGAAGGAAATGAGTTCAAGGAAATGTTTGAATTTATGTTACATGAATCCAGACTTCACAATCCTGCAAAACTGTATGCCCTGCAACAAAAACAAAACAATTCCAACTACAACACTGGACATTAGTCTGAGGTGTATAGGGCGTTATGTTTCATCATTACTGTTACAGCTCTAAGTGTTTTTTGAGAGTTGTTAAATTAGCTCTTGCCAGCTGGGTCACACATACTACCTTGCTTTTAATATAAACAGCATATTTATATTTCACTCTACCAGTATTTATATCAGCCTGGGATTATTTTCAGTGCATTTTCATCCATTCTGATATCTGCATTTTTGTCATTTATAGCATTGTATCTGTGTTGTGTGTGTATTTCAGGCTCATTGAGCAACGTGTCCAGTGATGCCAACTTCAGCTGTGACAGCGGCAGCGCTAATGGCTCGTGTGCAGCGGTTGAGGCGGGCGGCGAGAGCCCGTACAAGGCGGTGGAGATGGTCTTCATCGCACTGGTTACTGGATCCCTCAGTTTTGTCACCGTTGTGGGCAACATCCTCGTCATGCTCTCAATCAAGGTTAATCGACACCTACAGACCGTCAACAACTACTTCCTTTTCAGCCTGGCCTGTGCAGATCTCATTATCGGTGTGTTCTCCATGAACCTTTACACCGTCTACATCATCAAGGGCTACTGGCCGCTTGGCCCAGTCGTGTGTGACCTGTGGCTCGCGCTGGATTATGTGGTCAGCAACGCTTCTGTCATGAACCTGCTAATCATCAGCTTTGACCGATACTTCTGTGTGACCAAACCCTTGAGTTATCCTACACGCAGAACCACCAAGATGGCTGGCCTCATGATTGCCACCGCCTGGATCATGTCTTTCATCCTGTGGGCTCCCGCTATCCTGTTCTGGCAGTTCATCGTCGGAGAACGGACCGTAGAGCATGGCGAATGTTATATCCAGTTCCTTTCCAACCCAGCGGCCACGTTCGGCACAGCCATTGCTGCGTTCTACCTGCCGGTGGTCATCATGACGGTGCTTTATGTGCACATCTCTTTGGCCAGCCGCAGCCGTGTGTCCAAGCAAAAGCCCGAGGCTAAGAAAGAGAAGAAAGGCCAGAAGTCAAGCGGCCTGCTCAAGAGTCACGTCTTGAAGCAGGACAACAACAACCAGTCCCCTCCAAAGCCCAGCCTGGATACCTGTTCTACAGTAGACACTGTGAAGAACGGCAAACTAGACGAGTCTGTGGTATCAGCTAAAGCTGACTCGTGCGTGCAGCCGGAGAAGGAGAGCTCAAACGAGTCCAGCACGGCCAGCATAGCGCATAAAGAGCCCAAAGAGCGAGCAAACAGTGAAGTGACTTCAGAGGCTGGCCTGACACCCGCACCAACAGCCGCACCTAAAATCAACCCTCAATCCAAATGGTCCAAGATCAAGATAGTCACCAAACAGGCAGGAGACGAGTGCATCACAGCCATCGAGATCGTCCCACCGAACAGCACCGGCGAGAGGCGCTCCATCCCCGTCAACCGTCCCCGCACGGTGGCGCGCAAGTTTGCCAGCATCGCCCGCAGCCAGGTGAAGAGGAAAAGGCAGATGGCGGCGCGAGAGAAGAAAGTGACAAAAACAATCTTCGCCATCCTGCTGGCCTTCATCATCACGTGGACGCCATACAACGTGATGGTCTTAATCAGCACGTTCTGCCAGTCGTGCGTTCCAGACACAGTCTGGGCCATTGGCTACTGGCTCTGCTACGTCAACAGCACCATCAACCCCGCTTGCTATGCACTCTGTAACGCCACCTTCAAAAAGACCTTCAAAAACCTGCTCATGTGCCAGTATAAGAACATCGGCACCAGATGAACTGAGGAAAGAAGCAGCCAGCAGAGATGGAGGGTGTGATATGGAGAGTATAAAGGCTGTCCGTCCTGGCTCTTCTGACCCCCATACCTTTGAAGCTTCGGAAGGTATTGCACAGTACATTGAGAGGCATGATAGTCCCATAATGCTAAACAGTGCGTTATGATCAAAACGTAATATATTAAGGAATCAGTGTTTACAAGAAGATGATGGAGCGATAGACAATAAGCTGATTCACTGAAGAAATCAAGACTTTTTCAGTAATCTGATCATTGCTGCACTGCTAAGACCACTGAACTCTGCACTACATCGACATGAAGATCAGGCTGCGAATGACATTAAATTAGATGGCTCATTATTTCCAACAGTGAAGAGAGAGAATCCCAGCAAATATAAACCAGAAGAGACTTGGTGAATTAAGGGAATTTATTGATTCATTTATATTCCCAGTACAGCACAAATGGTATCTATCAAATCCTTTTGGTTAGTATTGACAGAATTTGACACTGTTTTTGACCCACACTTCTGCGCAGATTCTCTTAAAACATCATACAGAGGATCACAGCCAAAGACAAATAACATATGGAAAAGCTTCATGTTTGACTCTCCCTGAAAGCATGGCGCTCCAGAGTGAGGTTCAATTTCCTATAGCCTACCTGCACCTTCCACTTTCCAAATTAAGGAATTCTGTTGCTGTCCACAACAGCTGTGTAGTCCATTACATTCATAGCGGCACATTGAGGGCATGTGGTTCAGCCTGGGAGAAGTTAGTCATCATTATCCTCTTAGTGTGATCCTCTTGAGGTTCTGGTATAGATCAGAATTCAAAAGGATCTCCTCAATGGATTGGGATAGGCATTATAGACTTTAAATGGGATGAGACACTCTATACTGAGCTGAGAAATGTCACTGTAAGGGTTTGATCAGAGGTCTGTAAATATGTTTAGATATGATGAATATATGCTCTTGAAAGTATTATTTCTTCCCTGCATTTGATGTCTGGATGTTTGTGTTCCTCTTGTATTTAGTTGGTGATCTTCATGTAATTTTACAGATTAAATAATAAATATTAAATGTATTGTTGTCTGTACGCAGAACTGTTGAAACCATTTATAATTTGTGATATACTTGAAAAAAATAGGAGATGACTAATTTATTTAATCTGTTTATAAGATGTTCAATTTCAAGCATTTTATTTAAATCGGGGCACAAAAGACTTTCCGTAAATTTGAGAAATGGAAAATTGCTTTTATTTCCCCCTGTAAAACATGTTGATTTAGCACATATCCACTTCATGTTTTCTCATGGTGCAATATCGTTTTGCCAAGTTTGTATTTAAATACAAGGTTTGTAATTGACGCAACCGCAGCATGTAAGACTGAAGGAATGATCTCCAACTATTTTGAGTTTGAGAACATGTGGTCAGAATTAGCACAGAGGGAGAAATGTGTTGGATGTTTTAGGGCTCATGTTGTTACATTATTTACAAGCTGCCAGTTTCAGCAATTACAGACTTTAAAGCATTAAACCAAAGAGATCGTGGCACTCCGGTCTGCTATTAGACCTGGTCAGGAGGAGAGATTATTCATTCATTAGCATCATTTTAAGATGCAGAGACTTGCCTCTCTAACGTCTTGGGTTTGGTTTCATGTTTCTACCTCATAATCAAATTTCCATTCATAGTGTTTGTATATCCAAACCAGCTCTGAATCTCTTTTTAATGAGCGGTAAAGACAGACTAAATGACTTTCATGTCATTGCAAAAGACGCTAAAACCAGATTTCCATTTTTTTTTTATGAATGTTAAAACTTGCCAATTGCTTTGGTCATCTGATATATGGACTATGTTGAAGTAGGTTGTTCACTACAAATCTTAGTCAGTGAAAGACATTATAAAATGTCTCCCCAACTCTGATGCAAACTAAGAAAGTGTCACACTGGAACAGAGTTCTCTCAGAGAGTTCTGAACCATTAACTGTACTAAAGAAATTCAATCAAAATATAGTCCTTCTGCAAATCTGAAAATAGCAAGTCTATCATTAGCATCTGTTAGATGACCAATACAGAAAAATGGCTTTGCCCAAAATGCTCTTTCCTCTGGTCTTTTAAATTTTCACTTCAAATGTTCAAATGTAAATTATATAAGGATTGATGTAGGTACACTTACACCCTTGTATAAGTGTACCAGCTGAAGGGCAAAGTCAATGATCATTACCCCAGTGAAGCTGTTGGAATGAACACATTGTAATTATGGACTTATCTACCACTGCCCTTAAAGAGCCAGTGTACATAAGAGTGTATGGTTCTTTTTATATTGCATAAAGCTTAATAAAGATCTCAAGCGCACTGACCAGGAGGAAAAGAGAAGGCTTGTTCTTTACATGTTCATAAACACACATATGGGTTTGCATAAAATTTGCAGGGCTCAAGTGTCTTTAATAATGAACGGTCATCACTAATTTACCTTTAGTTAACACAACATATAACACACAAAGCTCTGTAACAAAACTTCAGTGTCTTTCTTAAAATGCTTATAAAATAGGTTTGCACAAGAGGGGACAGTCTCTCTATGCAGTCTAAATCTTAAAACCCTCTGTCACCCTTCAATCTGTTAGTAACGGTCAAGTCAAAAGGAAAAAGTAACACTATTGGGGTATTTTCACTTTTACACAAACTACACCTTTTATAGAAAAAGAAACAAATCATTTATTTCAACCAACACTCCTCAGTTTTATATTCTATGATACAAAAAAAGAGAAGGGTGACATCCAAACACTACTTATATACCCCACTAGTAATATAATCCTGTAAATTACACAATTTTACAAAACCAAATTTGTAAGTAAAACAGTCATAAAATAGATGTGTTTGATTTGATTCTACTGATTGTTGTCCTTTAGCAAATAAGAGGCCTGAGGCTTACACAGCTGATAGATGGGAGAGAGAGAGAGAGAGAGAGAGAGAGAGAGAGAGAGAGAGAGAGAGAGAGAGAGAGAGAGAGAGAGAGAGAGAGAGAGAGAGAGAGAGAGAGAGAGGAATGTGCTGGAGGGAAACAGAGGAATGGGTCAACTACAGGGAACCACACGCTAAACAGCGACATTTTATTCTCCCCTCCCCCTCACACATGAAAGAGTCATGTAAGGTGTCAAATACTCAGATGTTACTCTGTCATAGTCTCCTAAAGCTATATGTTTGTGGCTGTAGAGCGAGTCCCGCTCAAGCTGAAGAACACTGAGTAGAGATATAAAAGGCCGTGTTTGGATGACGGATGATCACGTGATGTTTACTACTCCTCTGGATCTCTTGCTCCCTTTAGTTCCCTTTCCCCTTGTTTTTCTTTCCTGTGGAGAGATTGACACAAAATCTCATTATTCAGATCCAGCAGAAAACCTGAACCTTTGACGACGCCTCCCTGTCTCATGCTGGTTAGGAAATGCATATGCTCTTATAAAAATAATGCTACAGTATTATTGCTTGAATCTACATTCAGATAAGCACATTAACCACAAACGCATGCTTTAAAAGGACTGACTTAGACATCTGCCTCTTATGTATGAGCAGAGGTTCATTATTGATTTCAGAATCCCACTCAGACACCCACCACAGCCAACAGGCCAAGATTACACAACCAGAGCAGATTACATGCCTTACTGACTCCATTCAGCCAAACCAAACCAAACTACTGGTTCCAATATAACACCTGTTGAGTCATGTGTGTTTGAGGAAGCTCTTTTTATGTTTTTTTTTTTAACACTAACATTTGATTTGAACATAAAACATTCATCGCTGAATGCAGAACCTGATTTCACCAAGTGCAACATGTTCCTGGATCAACATCAACATTCAAAAGTTTACAGTTTATGTCAAGTTCAGGCTACCAACAAGGGTTAGGTGTTATTCACCTATTATTTCCCTCTGACTTTAGGAATCATTTATGGGTGGGTTAGGTTTAGGGGTATGGTAGGGGGATGGCTAGGATTAAAATTTCAGACAGGAATGTTGCTCCAGGATCAACAAAATATGTTGACCCAGGAATGCGTCTAACTGGGCAAAATCAGGAACATGCTCATTGGCTGTCAGTTTTGGTGTTGAGGATGTACCTTTGGGTTTGTTTTTAACCTTGGTGGCGCAGGGTTTGGACACAGAGATGGTTTGCTGACAGTCGACATTGAAGAGAGCCTTTTGTAGAGTGCCGGTGCGGCTCTTTGCGCTCGTGTCAGCGTCACACTCGCCCCAGTTACCAAACTTATACTTGCAGTCAGCTGCATGAAATGAGTACCAATAAAGTAAGATAATATGAAATGCACAGAACAAACAGAAATACACAGCAGCATGAAAAACACTAAATATAAAAATAAAAGTGATGGCTAAACATAAGAGAAATGAAGGTAGGCAAATTTCAGCTGATTTACCACAGTTTCACTGACCTCCAAACTCTTTCTTCCAGTTGCAGGGAACTCTGCATTTGACTTTTTTGGTCTGCTCGTTGCAGGTGCCCTCCCTCACGCCTGGTCCACAGTCCCCGTTATTGGCCACGCAGTTGCCATAGCGCCACTCCGCACAGTCCGCCGCACCACCCTTACCTCCCTTATTCTTCTCTATCACATGACACATAGGGCACCACAGTTACTTCATGTGATTACCTTCACCTTCCATTCAGGTGAGTATCACACAAACTATTGTCTAAGGTTCAAAGTGACAGATCACAGGGTGAAATTCTGCATGAGGGTTAGGGTTAGGGTTAGAAAGGGAAGAGATGGTCTCTTCCATGTTTAATACCTTTCTTGTTTTTCCCAGCCTCTGTAGTCACGATCATTAAGGCCACCAGCACCACGATGAGGGTGGAAAACAGGCCACGCATTCTGAAAAACACAGATTAATCAGCTGCTGCAGAGCAAAATGACAGTTTTCAGGAAATGAACAATTTCTGTCATAAGTACTGTTATCAAAGGGCAGGACAGTAATCGAGCCATCTATGCTGAGACGTTACTTTGCCCTTTTAATGTTTCAAATTCCCAATTAGAGATGAATGGATGAAGCTGATAAGGATGATCATTCAGAATGATTAATTAGAGCTTCACTGACTGAATTTAACAGACTGGTATTAAAATGTCACAAACACAAAAGGTCATAGTGCTGAAGGACTATGATTCTCTGCTATCACTGCCACCAGATTATAATGTAACAACAGCGCTTACATTTCTCCAGACACCCACAAACACATCACACAGGAGTATGATGTAAGAGCTAGTGAAATGGGAGAATACAGAATTATTTCTTTGGAATTATGATAATGACGCTCTTGGCACCGAAGGCACCACCACTGTACTAGCTTGTTGCTGTGAATCATCAAACATAAACATCCAGCCCTGACTAACATACATTCAGACTCAAGAGGAAGAGAGTCACGCCGAACATGTCCTTCTTTTCTGCTGGTTTCCAGTTCCAGAAACTCACAGTCCACACATCCGTGTCTGTCCTCAGCTGTGAACACATGATGTAAATGAATAAATGTTTGTATAAAAAAACTGCACTCTTTTGCTCTTCTGCTTCTCAACATGTCAGCGTTGAGACTGGAAAACTGGAAACACATGGACCCAACAGCACTCACAATGTTTATTTCCACAAACACTGCGAATGGCAGGTAAAGAGTTGCATGCGAGAAAGTGATTTTTTGGGGGGGGATTTTTTTCAATCGGGCATTTATTTGTGTGGATCATCTCAAAGGAGGTTTGCTCCATGTACACAGATCTGCTTATATGGGTTTTGTGTTTGTGACTCTGGCTGTGTGAGTGCGCTCTTTAGCCTCTGCTTGTGATCTCCATGGCAATGATTTGACCGGGTGCTGTGAGATAGTAGGAGCGTATTGTCTGAAGAGAATGGAATCATCGCCGCGGGACGCCATTCTTCCGGAACGCTCCGTGGATATGAAGGCAAGAGGACTGAAGCAGCAGCTCACGCAGAGACGTACACTCACATATGGACCCACACAGATTATAGAACTCACATTCACACATCGGCCAGCTTCCCACAGACACATTTACTAACAACTCAGCACCATTGTCAGTGTGGGAGTGACTTTTTTGTCAATAAGACGACATCCCTGGTTCAGAGTTCTGTTAGCAGGAAAAGCAATTAACGGTAACAAAAGCTGATCTCCTATTGAAAGAGAGGACGGTCTCTGTAAGACGCAATAAAAGACTCCTCAAAGCAGCCAGAAGGAGCTGGACTGATGAAAAGCGGTATTGTACCGTCTTTGAGGATAATTAAGCATCTATTAGGTCCAAACAAGTCTCTCGTTCTAACCGCAACACTCTCTATTCACTGTAGTCGATGCGTCTGTTTGTCTGTCCGCTCGCGCACGCTGGCCGCTTAACTCTGGATGGCCCATCAGGTCACATGTTTCCCAGCTACTCTTGTTCCCATTGTGTTTGAATTTAATATTCTGGACTCTCACTATCTCTGGGCCATAACTTCCCACTCAAACTCCCATCCCAGAACAAACGCTGGCCCGCATCACTCAGGCGCCAGGCCTTTATAGGTCACCATAAGCAGAGGCAGTAAAAAATACTCTACCTGTTTTTTACCCCTCCATCTCTCACTCTCAGACATATTTTATAAACGGCTTTAGAGAATCATTCTCTAAAGCCGTTTATAAAATATTCTGTTGACCCAGTAAATCCTGCAACTCCCTCCAAACAGTAATTAAGTGTCAGCCGCTCAGCGGAGCGTGACTAACCTCTCTCAGAAAAACACAAATCTCGAGCACCCCAACCCCCATTTTCCTGGCCCAAAAATGTCTTCACCCCCTCTCCCTGTCCAAAATTTCCCCCTCCTTACCTTTTTTCTCTGACCTTTCTTCAAAACCTCTCATCAGGCAGTCTTCTTTGTGTGATCCGTGTGTGTGTGATGGGGGGACAGACTGCCTAACGATGCTGTTCTGACCCGCTGGGTCCACACACACACACACATCTCATACACTCTGAGGGTAGAAAACCCTTTAAAAGCCCCATTCCTCTCACAGAAACACACTCTTTGAGGGCCTTTCTCACTCATCATATGCCATGGGGCTTCCATTATCACAAGCGCGGAGGAATGCGGGACCGCTGGACACACACGGTTTCTCTTCTCTCTCCACCTCTGGTCCTCTCTCCTCCCCTCACATCTTTTCAGCATGTCCCTGCACCCTTGCAGCACAACCAGCTGGACTTCAAACTCATTTCCATAGCAGAGAAAACAACACAAAGCTCTGACCCACTTCACTCATAGTTAGACACATGGCACAGTTTCACGCTTATCAGCGCTGCTTTCCAATTACAGATTTCCATTTGGAGTCTCCTTTCAGCAACTCTTAAATTCTATTACAAGCACTGCGTTTTTTTTTGTTGTAAAGACTCTATTTAGTAGAGGTGCTTTCATTAAGTCTGAAGCAAAGCAGGCCCTTAAGGCTAAGCTGGTACTGAGTGTTAGTCATCAGAGACAGTGCAGAGGGAGTTCAAGTCAGCATTGGCTTTATCAGTCATCTAAACCACAGACAGACAGACACAGGGGAGGAGAGACACGACTGGAGACAGTGTTCAAACCAAAAACAGCTGTTTAAGTTCACCTCAGCACAAGATTTACTCAAACACAGGTCTGAGGCTAGGAGTCATAAATCACTGTGAGTCTCCCATTATTCTTTCTGATGGGTGTGTGCAGCTGTGTGATGTCCACACACACACACACACACACACACACACACTGTCACCAGACCAGCTCTTTAAAGCATTCGGTAAGTGCTACACCAAATGCTTTCTGACAGAAACTGTGACCAGCATAGCGCTGGAGGGCTGTGAATCTGAGAGCTCAGAGTTAAAAAACAAAACAAAACATGTAATTACATCCCTGCTCCTTAAAGAGAATTCAGTGACTGAGACACTGCTCCAGCCGTTATACACACACCCTGAGGATATAAACTCATATATCCAGAGCTTGAGACTGAGACATTAGGCTTAAAAGCATGTCACTACTATGCGGAGGGGAAGAGGTCTTTGTAATATCGCTCTGAAACATACTCCATTTCTCCTCTTTTGTAATGTAAATATACCAAGTATACTGTAATATACTCTTGTGCTTATCATTGAGAATTATTCACATTTCTCTCACTTTATATATTTCTCATTTTATTTGACCTGATATGTTTTGACCCAAATAGTCTCCCTCCGTCTGTCATAAACTCACACCAAATCAGGGCAGAGACCAAAAGGTTGAATGTTTACAACTTTGCTGAAGTGCTGTGAAGTGGTATACCTCTAAATGTGTAATCCCTTCAATAAAAGTGCCTTTTTATTTTGCACTTTCTAAATCCCACTCTAGGATGAAAAGGCCCTGAAAAATGTCTAAAGAGATAAATGAAAAGGGGGCAGGTCAGAATGCAGGTCAGGTGAAAGGTTCTCTGAAAGAGCGAGAGAAGAAAAGATGGAGCGCGGTCCTCTTCCTTTCTCCTCTGCACCCTTTGACCATGCTCACTTTAATCACTTCATTCAAGAGGAGAGAGGGAGTGAATGAAACCAAGAGCATTAAATGCACAATGATCCCTAACACACACACATCTGAAACACTTTGGGTTCGAGCAGACTAACATGCTTTATGTAAATACTTTTTAGCCACAATAAACTGCCAATCCACACAGAAACTGGGCACAATGAGTGTGAGTGAGAGCTAACGTGACTAATTATGCCCACAAATGCAGTTTTATACCATAGATATAGGCAAATGTTTGTACATTAATTTGCAATGGTTATCAAATGCAAAAAATAAAAATACAATAAGTGTGTCAAATTAAAGTAGAAACCCTGCTGCATCAAACCAGTCATTCATTAACATGATCGCAAAAAAAAGTTATAGCCGAAACAAAACGTAAAATGTAAAATGATACCTTAGATGCTCAAAATTGTTTTGTTCCGTAAAGCCCTTATATTTTTACGCAGAAACGAACAACTTACACTTTCGCACACGGAGGAGGCTGGTCAGTGGTCATGTAGGATAGTGATAGATCATTTCTACTTGGTTAAACTGATGGTCTTAATTTACTACTCATCCTGTGCTGCAATCCTCTCTACAAGAAATGAATGCAACAGCGCCCGACACAGACCGAGCCTAAATGTTTGCGCACTTCAGAACGGCTGCTATTTTAGTTTATTGATGGGTAACAACAACTTCTAATACCAAATGAAGAGCAGTATCAAATAATTTCATCATTGATTTCATACTGGGTATTTAACTATCTAAACGCTCTTCTTTAAACGTTTAATAGCCATCAAACAATTACAAAATGATCCTCTAAAACACGTTGTTCGTGTTAAAATATGTTATCGTTGTGGATAGCGTGAGAGAAAAATCCATGTAATCTTTTTTCTTAATTTTATAACTTTTCAAGAAGTTTAGCGGAATAAAATAGAAGGTCCACGTACTGGTCACATAACAACTGTTGCTGTGAAAAGAGCAGATTTAACTCACTTGTTTTCTGTGTTGAAAGTTTCCACACTGAAAGGTCTTGCTGAAGTTTTGTGTGTGAACTCTTCTCCAGCATCCGCCTTTATGCGTCTCTCTGTCTCTTTGTTTCCCCCCAGACTAATTTAATCGGGTTCTTTCTCCTGAACCCTATTTAAATTAACCCCACCGTGACGTCACAGCTCACGTCAGCATCAGTCAATAGACCTCATGGCACAGCCATGAGACCTGTAAGTCAACCTAAACAAATTGTTTTCAATTATTATTATTATTAGAGCCTAAAATAATACTAATAATAGGCTGATGATAATAATAATGAAATAATAATTTAATCTACATGTACATAATAATAATTATAATAACAATAATAATAAAAGATTACATTCAACTAGCCCAGCAAAAGTGAAAACAAGACCCTCCACGATGACAGAAATGGCTGTTCAAAAAGACTAACCCCAACACTTTTGCCAGTTCTCCAGGAGAGACATTAATTAAGACTCAATCAAATGATCACAGTCTTCTTTGTGACACACACACCAAATTCTGCAGAAAACGCAAAAAGCAAATATGAATGCTTTGTTCCCCTTCAGCAGAAAATATAAAATGGCAGAATATCATGATGATCAATGCTGAACTGAGCAGTTCTGACTATTTACAAGTATCAAGCAAATATAGGCTATCTGTATATAAGCGCATAGAGACCTGGCTACTAAGAACAGCACCTACTGTTTGTAGTTAAATCTAACTACAGATTACAAACAAATACCATCTCAATTTTGCAAACCATCAGTAATGTAAAATTGAATGCATAAAAACTCTGCCAGGAAGTCCAAACTTAGCTGGAATGTTTTCAGAGTCTTACCATTAAAGGGTCACTTACTCTGTTTAAACAGCACAGTTTGAATCTGTGAAATACTTGCGTATCGATGAACATAGTAATATCCTGATTTCCAAATAACAGCTAGCTTCAACAAAATATAATTGAATCATTAGGCCTATCTGTTACATTTTTGTGTGTATTTGTTTGCATTTACTGCAAGCAACTGAAATGTTTAACTGCAAATGATTAAAGTGTTAAGAGGCTGTATTCTCTTGTTTCGCTTGCTATGTGATTTTATGTGGGTGTGTTGTTAGTCTGTGAATGTGTGTCTGTAGACCCCTAAGGACAGGAAACAGCAGCTCAATAGGACAAATGGTGCAGTCAGATAAACAATCTCTCTGCAGGCTGAGACAGGCAAGAACAGAACACATACAATGACCTGAGCCAACTCCACAAATAAAACCATTCTCATAGATCGTGTTCTCACATAAAACCTACTCTCAATAAACAAACACACACTTGTCGCACAATCAAGCATCTTTACAGGAGCACACACACGGCATCTATAATAACGACTGAAAAAGTGACCGCAGAGCATCAGATAATACTTTTGTTGAAGACAGAATGAAAGGGAGAAGTTATTTTATAGTTTTTCTGTAAGCTGTATTTCAGTCAGAGAATAACATCTTCTGAAGGTCGTGCTTAAAAAAAAGACACTGTAATAGACATCATGCATTACATGTAAATGTAAGATTGCACTGATTTGATCACAAATATTTGAAAGGAAAAGTATACTAATGTAAGCATTTAAATGCTTCCCTAATTAGAATGTCTTTAATTTTTTTTACAAAAATCAGGAATCTGTTACTAGCTGACTTGAACAAAACTAACAAAAAAAAGCAGTAGGCACCATTGTGAAGATACTTTAAAACATAATCAACTTTTGAGGGGAAAGTACTGTTCGTTTTACACATTCACTCCAAGATGACTAAGTAGACCACAGGGAAAATGGGGGTGATGGAGGAAATCAAAGTGGGGTGAGGGACAAAGAGAAAGAAAGAGTGGGTTGAGAGGTTGGGAGGTTTATACAGTCTACATATTTTGTAGCAAACTGAAAAGGCAAGACCTCCTCCCTACTCTCCACAGTGAAACCTCTGTCTCACAACAGAGGACCAGATGGAACAATCACTGTTTGAATAAAAGAGAGTTCACAGCCACCACAAATGATCAACAACACCCCAACACTCCTCCTCTCCCCGCTCTATGTCTCTTTAGATCCACGGGAAGTCATGGGAAAGCTTGCCAAATGGGCAAAGGGTGAACCAGCATGTGAGTTTGTCCATGAAAAGGTTAAAGAGTTGAAGATGAAGTTTATCCAGCATTCACATTATGATTATTCTAAAGGCAGAGGTCACTCAGAGCATGACCAGAAGAATGGACTCTACACTTCCTCTCACATAGCCTACACATGCTGCTACTCTTTTTCTTATTGCAAAAACGAATAAATATGTAATGAAAGACTACCACACAGACTTCTAAACAGTTCACAAGAACCCCAAAGCTTTTTACCTAAACGATTCTATTAAATAAATAAATTTATCCTCCTGGCAATATTTTACAGTAATGTTTTATTTGTTAACATTGTTCATGCTTTAATGAACTAACAATTAATGTTTTTTACAGCACTTTTTTTAGGTTAACATTCATTTATATACATTTGTTCACTTTTAATTCTTGTTCATTCATAATGCATTAAATAAAGTTAATGTAGGCTATGCACTTTCATAAAAAAATAAATAACCCAGATTAAGAAATTCTGTAAAGGTTTTGTTAAATGTTAGTTTAAACTTGTTATGAACCTTGTTATAAAATGTTCAGAAGTCTAACGGAATCATAAATAAGAAGAATAAAAAAGTTATATACAAGTAAAAAAATACTAAAATGCAGGGAATTACATTTATATCAATATTTATATCAATATCATATTATTACCATTTTTTTGTAGGGGTGACCAAATGCCTCTTTTTTTTTTCAATTTATACCCATGGCAGCAGTTTTTGATTGAATCAACTATTTTTCCTCTCAAAGAAATCTGGAATAGAGTTAAGCTATGACTATTCAACCAAAAGAACTTGCTGAACATTGGATCATTCTCATCTATGGTTATTCCACATCATCAGGATCATCCATACCATATAGGGTGATAATTCAATGACTGATAATTCATGCCTCTCTCACAGCCTGAAGCCAGAGACAGCAATTGCATTTCTCTTATTAATACCTGCCTCTCTCATCTCTGAGCTGGCAACTCACTCCTGCCAAGACAAAAGGAAACTCAGTATCAGAGTCTGAGGTAAATGTCACTAATACATTCCAAGTGTGATTCAAATATATTAAAATGAAATAGCTGTATCAGACACCAAAGCCTCACATCCATCAATCTGTGGACGTGTGGGAGAGCTGACGTGTGCAATACAGAAGAATACAAATTCTTTACAGGCTCCTCAAAACAAAGCTCACATGCATACGCACTCTTTAGGTACAAAGGTGTAAGGGTTCCGTCCCAGTGACAGCTTTTGTACCTTTTTTTCTGAGATTTTATCATTCTATGTGAACAGTACAAAATTAACAGCAGGGTGTAAGGATTGGATTGTTTACTCTGAAGAGGCCTTTCTGTTCAACTGATGGATTATATCTCATTCTGATTCTGTAGAATGAGCCACAAAATTCTTACTTTAAAAAGATTCTTCACATAATGATAAGGACAGAAAGACAATTCAAGGTCCAATCTTCCTTGTGTTTTAAGCAACAAATGACCTTGCTGTGCAGAATTAAATATTCAGTATGCTTTATTATGTTAATAACCAGACAGTAACAAAATAAGATCACTGAAGAGATAAATATTGACTACATATTGTTACAGAACAGAAAATTCATAAAACATTTCTTAAAACCCAATATATTGTATTGCACCGGAACCTATGCTTTCTGCTTTCTCATTATCAAAACATCTAACAAATTCTAGCTTTAAATTGCACAGCAAAAAAAAAAAAAAAAAAACTAAAACTAGACACAAATTAGTGTCAATGTCAGATAATTTTCCCTGTAAATCAAGGAAAGAGACAGTTCTTCCTCTTCTTACTGCTTCATGCATCTCGACAGCTAAAGGCTTTAGAGCCTAATTGAGCGAAAAAATACACAGCAACAAAACACATTCAGAAATTCAAAATACATATTACATTTGTTTTGCCCTTGAAAGTAAAAGTAAAGATATTTTCACAACAGAATGGAAATTTCTCCAAAAATCTAATCTCTTAAGTTATAATGCGGTATACAGTATAAAGGGGTGTTTATTGATAATGTTGACAATGTTCAATAGTGTCTCTACTACATGAGGTAAAACAGGATATTAGATGCATGTAATTAATGGTTGCTGACATATTGATGATGAGACGCTAAAATGAGCTACGCATTAAAAACTTGGTGTTAATAAGAAAGAGCATGTAAGGTCCAGCCCTAAATAGCTACTTGAGAAAATATGCAAGTATGAATTATGTATAATAAAGTAATATACATAACCATAATCTGTTGGTTGAACAAAAATCACAGCAGAGGAGACTGACGTGTAATATCATCATGATGCTGCCAGAACCACTCGCAATCTCCTCTGAACGTGCCAAAGAGTAGATGATTTAATAACAAAACAAAAGAACCATATCATTAAAGTCTGGGTGATAAAATCTTAACACCAGACTAAATAACTCAGTGACCGTGGGCTTATGCAGGGACATAGTCTCGCTTGCCCTTAAAGGTGTTAGAATGATATGCTAAAAGCAGTCTACAAATAAAAACAGGCCATTCAAATATCCACTTCACTGAGTTAATAGTTGTGGACTGAGTGAATTCATGCAGTAGAACATCACAATGCCAGTATAAATGCATATTGCTAATAATCAGGTACAGAACTGTGGACATAAAAATATTTGTAAATCACCTAAGAAATTGAAGGCTGTTCAATTTCTATGGACTCCATGTCAGTAAAAGATCTATGTCAAATAAAATCCAAATCAATTACAAGTTTTACAGAAACAGAGAGAGGGAGAGAGAGAGAAAAATAGTATAGTAGCCTATTGTAGCAAGGCTCTAGCATATTTTAAATGAGAAATAAAAAGTTGTAACAAACTGAATTTTGTTAGATCATACACTCAATACAACTGCTTTCTAAGATTTAAGTGACAACATTTGTTCCAACTATTACAGTACATAAGAGAAAAAGGCTCATCTAAAATGTTTAGAAATTAATTCAACATTTGGGGCAAATCTATGCTATCTGTCCTGCTTATTAGTCTGAAAAACTCTAGTTTTAGGATTATTATAATTATGAAGAAATTGAAACTTGTCCCTTAATCCCTCCAATCTCTGAGAGTGAGAGGTTCCTGTAGGCTGTCTATCTCAAATAGTAGAATTCTATGATCAAAATTCCTTGGTAAAGGAATGAAGTTGGCATGATTGAATAGAAAGTACTGTTAGCTTGAAGTTTCAGCTAGCCTGCTAGTTTTTTCCTCTCCCAGAATGCATCTGTTAACCTGTGTCTGTCTGAACTACATCAAACAGCTTTTCCATTACAGGAGCTATTAAGTAACACCAATCATCAAAATTAAGATGTGTTCTTATCCTATACACATCACATGATCAGCCTTTACACTGGGGTTTCAGATGGAACATTATAAAAGGATAAAAAAGAAGAAGAAAAAATTCATGGACAATTTTCCACACTATAAAAAAGTGGGGGGAAAAAACCCCTTTAAGAATAAAAAAAAAAGGGTTCATTAAGACATATTCCATGTTTATTAAGACATATCCCATGTAAGAGTTCAGTGAGTTCAGTGTGTATGGCATATGATGTCATTCATCAAGACTATCTGTCAGGGTAAAAGGGTTGAATGGATGGTTGTTTAAACACTCAAACTTTTCAATGTTGTTCCAAAGAAAGAATAGAACTGAGCTAATGAAGAGCATAAAAGATGCTAGTGTATTTACTTACCTAAATACAATGTGTTATACATTGTGAATATGCATACATCCTGTATAATGGCATTTATTGTAAAGAACTTTGAAACCAGTGGGTCATATCATTAATGAAGTAGTAACCTTTCTGGACAAAGAAGGGTTTCATTCTGTGATGTAAATTACTGAAATACATTATAAATGACTAATATTATTAAATACGTATGTTTCTTTCAAGGCTAAAATATTTTCAATATTTATCTTTTTAGGAAAATAATTAGCATCCTAAAATCTTGAATCTGTATTAAGACATCAGCACACAAAAAAAAAAAAAACACAACAAAACAAACAATAAACAAACTCTTATAGAGTATGTTGGTTTATCACAAAGAATTAAGAAAAATGCTGAAACTCCAATAAACCAAAATCTAATTTACAGAGTTTTATAATACAAACATGACAACACATATTTTTTATAGCTACAAATTATATAAACATCTATTTACTTCAAAATATTGTAGGAAAGAAGATATATTTAGCACATCAATTATAAATCCATATTATAGAATAAAGGAGGCAATCGAAGCTACAGTGCAAAATGCCTCTTAAACAGAAAGCTACTCGCATACATTTACAGTACCAAATGTTCTTATTAGAAACCGCACAGAAATCTATGAAAATGCAAAATCCTTCGAATAAACAAACCTGAAAAATATCTAAATCGTTCTGATACTTAAAAACCAAGGCCCTAGGAAAACCTTCCTGTCTTTGAACCATCCTGAACTCTTTCAGTGCAGAGGAATCTAGAAAGTTACATTATACTGTACATTAACATCATATTATTTAATGGCTCTACTGTTATTAGGAAATAAGTCAGCTATGTTGAAATGTTGTTTCGAGTTCTGGTTCATGTTCTGGACCCCTGACCAGACTAAAGTTCAGCCATAACAGAGCAATACTGAAGCTGGAGCTGGAGCATTCACCATAGCCCTGACTCTACTGACACACACAGCACTGTCCTCACCAGCCCATGGACATCTTCGAGATCCTCATTCTATTCATCTAACATTCAGCATTGTCAAACTAGAAAGCTAACTTGATGAGTGCATTAACATGGAGAGAATTCTGCATCCTGTTTCATACATACAAACTCTAAGATGTTTTGGCAGTGCAATGAAATAAAAGACATTAAGTTCAACAGGTCATTCAGAGAATGATGATAAAAGCTAGGGACCTCCTCAGAGAGTTAAGTGTCCGACCGTCTCCCCTCTCTGGGAATCAATCCCCCCTCCCCCCCTTGTGCAGTCCAGAGAGCCTGCGATGGGTATAGAGATACATTTTTGGTTACTGTTGTTTTGGCACAAAAAGGAGGACACTGGTTGAGGTGAAGGGTGAGAGGTCAAAGGTCAAACTGCAGTCTCCTGGTCTTCACGCTGGATCATTTGGTAGTGCTGGCGATTCTCAAGATATGCCGCGAGTTCTGCATCATTCGCCTTCTCGGCACGATGCTTTGGAGTGTCGCCCTGGAAATGAAGAGACATGTTAAGTCCAAACACATCAAATGCTGGAGAAGTTAAAAAGAAAGTTGACATCATTTATAATTAAACTGCTCTTCGTGAACTGAAGCAAAATACACAAAGAATATCTATGGTTGCTCCAGGTCTTAATTGGGGATAGTTACTTTCAGACAGATTTTTCATGAACAATGAAGAAGGGAAATCAAAGATTACACTGAGCCTCTAATGGTAAACACGTTCTCAGGAAACGCCTCTGTTTTTCCATGTGCTAGTGCCAGCATTGCTCAACAGTAATTGTTGTTAATTGCAGGCAGGCCTGGTGCAGAGAGTATGAGAGAAAGGCCTGGACTGTTCTTAACAGAGCTGAGAGCACTCAAACTGCCCGCCAGGCGCTTTCATTGTTGTGGCACAGAAGAAGCTGCTTTTGTTCGGAGTATACAGTACAAACGGCCACCAGCACCCTTTCATACTACGCAAGTGTGGTTCTGCATCCCTCCATTTTCAGCCTTTCACACGCAGACAAAGCCAGTTCTGGAAAAGCTGTCAAAAACGACAGAGTCCTGTAGCAAGCACAATGGAGAATATTAGCCATGATGAACTAAAAGAGACGAGTTACACGGGAGAAAAAAAAAGCTTTGTGGTTGAGATACTGATCCCTGCAGGGCATGCCGAACAGAAATATAATCACACTTTTATAGTGCTTTTAAAAACCAGCATGCATTCATTCTCATACAAGTCACAAAGGAGAGAAGGGGAAAAAAATGATGGAAGGGATAATGGGGATGCTTATTATATAAAGACAGATGGATAGACCGTAAGAGAAACAGAGGAAAGAAAGCGAGAGGGAGGAGAGTTGGAGAGGAGGATTGCGCTTCATCACAGGGAAATGAACGATGAGTCACCCTATCCTGGATGTTTTCTGGATTGAATGAGTCCAGGATGGAGAAAAAAGTGCTGATGGAGCTGTTAAACGCAACAGACCACAGTCCAGGAAATTGGCACCACTAAATCAGGTCTTGTTCAGTTCGAGTCTGTCAGGAGCATAGGAGGACAGTCTCCCTGAAGAGGGCAGATGAAAATCATGGGATATCCGCTGAAGAGAAAAATCTCCATTTCGGTCTGTTCTCAGACTGGTGACTTTACACATTTCATCTCCCTCAACAGCACATGAGTTACTGATAATTACAGAGATAGAACTGAAGGCTGTCAGACAGTCCATCTGCACTCGGGAGACTCAATCAGTGCCGTCTCACACATTTATCAGATGGGAGCTGGGAAATGTCCGTTAGACTGCTGTGAGCTTTAGAGCAGACTCTTACAGTAAGGCCCAGTGGTGCAAAGGTACAAAACTACAGGGGAAAATGAGAGCGAGCAAGAGCGATGGATAGTCCCGCTGAGAGTTCTAACCACAAATGAGATTTTTGTGCTTTGTGGAAAATCATTCAATCACAGATCTCTTCAAATAAGTAGTTTTTAAATTGATGTTTCTTCTGAAAAGAAGAGAGGCAGTAATTAGAGTGTAGTGTGTGTCTACAGCTGTGTGTAATTTTGCGGTACACCAATCAGAAGTGCTGCAGGAGAGCTTGAGTCTCTTGGCTGGCTCTGTGGAGGTGAGCAGGGGAGAGGGTGGGCTGCTGGGGGGAAGAATGGCTCCTTGTTTCATGTGGAGGTCTTAGTCAGCACTGACTAACAGAGACGTTCAGGGATAGAGACCAGCTGGAGGGCTGCAACCAAAATGAGGCGGATCTAAAAGCCACAAACGTCTCCAGTGAATCGGCTTAGAATGAATCTGTATTCAGAGCTCACCAAAATTATTCCTTCCTAAATTCCCATATCAAACACAAACTTCTGAAAGGATGTCAATAGATATACTCAAAGCTATGACATTATTTCCCCTTCTGTTTTTGTCAGCATCAGACATAGGCTTACAATGCTTTTGGGAAACGTAGCCCAAGTTGATCATAGAGACCACTGGTGGCAATTGTTCTACGATCAACTTAGGCTTACATTGCTTTTGGGAAACGCAGCCCTGGTCAGGAGGCTTCATTCTGTGCTTGTAAGTAGACCTCTAAAAACATTGAAGGGATGTTTTAGCCAAAAATGTCATAATTTACTCGCCTTCATGTTGTTCCAAACCCCCAAGACTTTGGTTAATCTTCTAAACACAAATTAAGATGTTTTTTGATTAAGAGAGATTTCTGTCCCTCCATTGAAAGTTCAGCAAACTAAAACTTGAGTCATAAAGGCATCGTGAAACAAATCCATTTGAATCGAGCAGTTTAATCCAAGTCTTGTGAAGAGATGCAATTGACCGTTCGCAGGCCCCTCCCACAAAACGGCCATTGTCCAATCACACATCATAGCAACCGTTACTATGTGAGCAGGTCCGTCAAACATTGACTCCAAGCAAGATGGTGAAGCGGTGCGCCCACGGCGTTTGTAAATCGGAGACTAGGTACCCCGAGAGATTGTCTGGAGGAGTTGTGTTCTTTCCGTTTCCAAAGCCGAAAACACAACGTGAGCGGTGCCTACAATGGATAAAACAGTGTGGACGGCGGCGGCCCCACTCCCAGTTAAATGTGTCGAACATGGTTAACTCGCGTGCAGCGTGCGCGAGACTGAGACACTGAGATTAGTCAAAGACACATGGAGAAAGCAGATCAAGAGGATCCACAAAGGAATTACGTTTTCTAAAGGGTTGTTGTTAACATGATATTCTCGGGGGGAAATGAGCAACAGTCAACTAGCAGTGCAGCACCCGTAGACTACAGTTTAGAGGAGTGCACGCTCGCGACGGGGAAAGCATGAAGCTTACTTGACAACATCAGTTCATATATCAATATCGAATTGAAATAACCTTAAATAATGTATGGTTATCTGCATCTTTCCGTCTCTTATGTATAGTTACTTTTTAAACACGCATTCAACACGAAAATCGCATTCAGCACGACACGCAAGCGGTTGCCGTGGTAATGAACAACCTGCTTGTTAAAGCGAATGTATAATCCTGTATCTGAGGCAAAATTACTAAATATGCAGCGCGAGTTATATATTTCTAACTCCAAACATTAGCCACTGAACCAGCTTATAAAATCTTCTTCAAGGCTGTGCTGGTTGCATTTGAGGTACAGGTCATGGGGTTTCTCAGATTTAGCTTGAGACCGGTAAGCATTAGCCTCGATAGTAGTCGTGTCTCCTTCATTGCGTATTTTTATATTTTGAACTATATTTCTATTCTATATTTTCCACTGCCTACTGTAACCCCTTTTGCCTCGATTTGGAGGATATCGCTGAGGTATTGCTCCAAAAAAGGTCACTGACACGCACGGGTATACCTCTTCCCGTCATGGCAATCTGTCGCGCTGGTCGTGTTTGACCATTTGTTTGACGGGCGTAGTAACAATAACTAGGGGGCGTGGCTTTTGCGAACGGTCAATTGCTTTATATGATGTGTTAACTTAAATATTAACCACGTCTTATGGGCTTGGAATGACATCCGGTAAAGGTGAGTAAATGATGCCAGAATTTTCTTTTTGTGGTTAAATAACCCTTCAACTTATCCAGCATCAAACATGAACTGTCTTTCTCTACATGTCCATCTCACCTGTAAGTCTGTCTTCATGAGAGATGCTCCCGCCTCCACTAGGTAATGACAGATTGTCCTATGACACAACGAGGCCGCTTTGTGCAACACCGTCTCTCCGCTGAATAAAAAGGGAAGAGATAGAAAGTCAGAGAGAAAGCGAGAGAGAAAAGAACAGACAGAAAGAGAAGAATGCAGAAAAACAAGTTGGAGAAATAATCAGGGTGTTAAAAATTAATCTCAAGATAATTCCTGAAAAGAGTGAGCCAGGCCTGACTATACGATCACAAAACAAAAGCCTGAACCTTTCCTGTCAACAGATTAAAATAACAAATGGCATCAATGTGCATTATAGAATGACAGAACAGGCCTCACTTTTCTCTCTCCGTTACATCCAGAATATCGGTGGGTGCTGTGGAAAAAAAGAGAGAAAAAAAGAAAAATTAAACCTTGCAACCACACTAAAGCATGTGCCCTGAGGTGATGGTGTGTTGCTTAATGAAGAGCTGTAAAAAGCTTGCGTGGGAGAGAGAGATGACCTGCTTCACACATCAACCCCCCTACACACCACAGATAATGTGCATAACAGCAATTGAAAGCAAAGTAGCAAACAACACCAGTCAGAAGTTTGGACACACCTGAATGCGTTTACGTTCAGAGACCTGTTGATCTAAAGGCCTGGACAGAGACAAACGGTGACAAAGGGTGGCTATTTTGTAGAATCTAAAATATAAGATAATCCATTTGTCATAGTTTTAATGATTATATTATTACTACCTTTCACACTTTAGAATAATAGTAAAGAATAAGTAGGTGCATCCAAAAATGTATACTAGTTTTGTAAAACAAACAAAATCATGCATGTTTGTCTGGGGTGGGGATTCAAGTCTGAGACCAAGCTGAAAGTCTAGGGCCTGGTTTCACAGATAGGGTTTACAGTAGATTAAGCCAGGATTAGGCCTTAATTTAATTAGGACATTTAAGTAGTTTTTATAAACATGCCTTAGAAAAAAACATTACTGATGTGCATCTTGAGGCAAAACAATGCCACTAATATATATTTTAAGATATGTCAAGTTGCTTTCAGTTAAAACAGCTCAAACATGCATTTTAGTCTGGGACTATACCTTAAGCCTTGTCTGTGAAACCGGGGAAAAGATTCAAAACGTGGAATTAACTGTTAAAAAGAATTTAAACAAAGAAACATTATGATAGAAAATGAATATGACATTTTACTACATATGATCCTCATGGGAACTCAATAGACTTTTCACTTAAATTGCTGTGTTAATATAATTTGTATTTAGGAAATTGTATAAATTCAAAAAATGCAAAATAGAAGTTTTCACTAGTAACTAGATTTTTGCACCCTCGCTGTATATGAGGATTGAGAGAGAGAGAGAGAGAGAGAGAGAGAGAGAGAGAGAGAGAGAGAGAGAGAGAGAGAGAGAGAGAGAGAGAGAGAGAGAGAGAGAGAGAGAGAGAGAGAGAGAGAGAGAGAGAGAGAGAGAGAACTGGAACAGCAACAGCACTGTCACAAGTGCTTTGACAGTCAATCTGGACAAAACCAGAGTCATGGTTATAAAGGACAGATCCTACAGCACAGCACTACAGTAGCTAGAATTATCTGGGCATCAACATCAGCGCTTCGGGAGGCTAACGTCTGGCTATCAAAACACTGAGCGAAAAGGATCGGAGGGCTTTTTATGCTATAAAGTCACAAAGTCAGTCAAATAAAATTACCCACTAAAACGTGGATACAATTACATAATTCAATAATAAAACAAATTATTTTATATGGATGAGAATTTTGGGGATCTAACATTTTTAAATTGGGATAAAATTTCATTTAGAATTTTTTTTTTTCCTCATAGAAATTGCCAAAAATATTTTAGAGGTCCACAGAAGCACTTCCATTGATGCCTGCAGGGATGAAGTAGGCTTGTACCAGTTGAACGTTGAGGTCTAGAAGAGATGTGTTCAGTTTTGGCATCAACTCCATCAGTCCATCCTGATTCATTTCAATATAAAGCCCTCCTCGCCAATCAAACCAGACTCTAAACACATTTGCTCTTCATGCTAGTCCATGAAACTCAACTCTTGATTGACTACAGCTACAACCCCAAAACTTTTATTAAAGAAATTGACAAAAATCTTAAAGTTACTCTTGACAAAACACTAAAAACTCAATTTGACCACCAAAATAAACCCCAATGTTATTCGACCCTAAATAGAACCACTAAATTGACAAATTATTTATTCATTAAACAATTTAAAGAAAGACAAATCCTCCTCAGATACAGATAAAGTGACCATGATCTAGAAACAGAAAAAAGGAAAGCATACAGAAACATGGACACAGAGAGAGCAGGGGTTCAGTAGACACTGTGATCTACTACACCAAACAGAGGATGAGAGACACTTCATCCTCATCAGTACTAAATACCACAATTTAAGAGAAACATTTCTCCCTAGATTTGAAACACTGATTCCATCATTCAACGTAGTGATACTGAGAAAATGCCTTGCAGAAGATGATAGGACAACTGCAACTACTGCTAAATATGTGTTAGCCGACATGGTTAATTCACTGAGAGACCCGATTTATTGTAGATGGATATTATTTATTTATTTACTATGCTATATATATATATATATATATATATATATATATATATATATATATTGTGCTACACAGCCATGCTAATAAAGCTCATTTGAAATTGAGAGAGACTGCATGCTGACAATGCGAGTTTCACTTTACTCTTTCAAAGATCTACTCCACATATTTTACAATGATCATTAGGGTTGGGTACCGAAACTCGGTGCCAATAGGGAACCGGTTCCGACGTAAACGGTAGTAACCAGACCGAATAAGAACGACAATTTCGGTGCCTGATTTCGGTGCCTGACTTAATTAGGCACACACGCACAGTCTCTTCTGTCTCGCATGCGCGCTCTTGCTCGCAAGGTTTGGCTGCATTTCACGTGTAAAATGGGCTATATGCACGCATAACTTCCGCGTTTGACGCAAGGATGCTCGTGCGTTTCCGGTTGGGGAGATTTAAAGCGGAAGAAAAACCGAGGAAAACGGTATTATGGCAGAGTCTTCAAAATTTACTGTCCTCTCGTCTTTGAAACGAAACTTTAATACATTTAGATGTAATTTTATATATAGTTATGTTTATTTAATATAATAAACACAGAAGCATTAAACAAAATGAGGAGTGTCTGTTTTGTCTGTTTTTGTGACTAACGTTTCTTTAGTATAGCAATAGAGTATAAAAACCAATATAAATTCTCGGTATAGCATTGGACTCTACAATCGGCGGAAGTAATCCAGCATCCTTAGACCTTCACCGGAAATACCGCCGTGCATAGAGCCCATTACGAGTCAGAACGCCCTCTGGGTGTGCCGATAGTCTGAATCCCATATAGAATCAAGCCAATACATTGGCTAATGGCGCGGGCGCCGCCTCGACGCACATACGTCGTCATATTATGTTGGCGCGCGCGCCATCTGCTCCTCAGATTTCTCTGCCGAAAAAGGAAGCTGTTCGGCAGCGCAAGGAGCTTGGCAGCGTCTCGTTCCCTATTGAGAGAACATAGGTTACACCAGTAACCAGAGATGTTCTCTTTCATAGGTTCACTCAACGCTGCGTAGCTAAGAAGCAGTGGATTTGTAGGCTGCTGTATCACGTGCCGTTTGAACTGACGCGCTACAGCGATCTGTCACATTTCAAAGAGCCAAAACGTTATTTATTATGTGAATCTCGTAAAAATATTGACAGAATCTGACAGCTGTGGATTTGTTCCATATCAAAAGTAACCTTCTCTGTCTTGTCTGTCGGTGTCCTCTTTGTCCGCGATTTTTCTTTGCGTGAGAAAATGGATGTGTGGCGTGAGAGCGTGTGAAAAGGGTCAATTGCGTGAGTCTCACGGTCAACGCGTGAGAGTTGGCAGCTCTGCAATCTCTATTAATCTCCAGTATTATTACATTGTTTGATACAATATTGTTTTATTTGATATTATGTAAATGTGTAAAATGTAATGTAATTTTTTTTTTATATTGGTTTTATTATTACCATATGTTACTTGTATTTATATTGTTTAAAGATTTAAGTTAATATTGTGTCCAGTTTGGCCCTGTAAATAAAAGGGTATTATTGTTTGATTAAGTGTGTGCGGTTTCGTTTTCACGTACCGTTTCAAGAACCGTTTAAGCACCGGAACCGTTTAAAAAATACCGAGTAGGTACTGGTATCGGATAAAACCCAACCGATACCCAACCCTAATGATCATTCAAAAGAAAGAACAAGAGGCAAAAAAACTGCAGCGACAAAGACATTCGGTGTATGCCAGAAGCATTTTAGAGATGTTACAGACATGTGTTATGTGATCATTTACCATTATCAATGATGTATCTGACAATCTCCTTGCTGCCCACTTCCACAGCATAGTGCAGTAGGGTACGGCCCACAGGGTCCTGCACACACAGGTCTGCCCCCATCTTATGCAGCTCCTTCAACTGCAGAGAAAAAGCTGCCAGTTAAACAAACCAACACTGAGATTAACGCATCCCCAAACAATGGCAAACCAAAGAGAGCATCATTATGGTAAGCCACATGGTATCCTGATCACTGAGGCTCATTAATTATTCCAAAGTGTTCGCACAGTAATTCAAACAGAATCTAGTGATGGGCTCAGCTGTGCTTAAGGAGAAAAGCACAAGTTTGGCTGAAGGCTAATAGCAAACGTGACAGTGACAGTCTCAATAGGTTCAAAGGACCTTTCAGTGCGATAAAGCCCAAAATCTGTGAGAAACTTGCCAGGACTCTTTTATACACCACAGAGAGTTTGGGCATAAAAAATTACTGGCATTATCATTAGTCCAGTGAGTCTAGTATAATCAGAGGTTCTTTATTCGCCAGTTTTCATTTGGAGGATGATGAATTCTTTCCTGATGATGAAGGCACTGAGAGGAAAGAGGAGACACCATCTAGAGAGAGTCTATAGTTCTGCATCTTTCATGTGAGTTTAAATGTCAGAGAGAGTGTTTATTGCTCTATGGTCCAGCTGTAAGGACGCAGAGATGCTTAATTTAAAGAAAACGCATTGGGGCAGGTAAGGCTTGTGGTGTACACATCACTGCCTACTGCAACATGCCAAACATCCTCATTAATATTTGAAATGTCCTCTCTTCTCTGCTCTGTACCAGAACAGGTTTGGGGCTGGATGAAAGAGCTTTATCATTCTGATTATCATTCTGGGGAAAGCCTGTTTGGTCACCATAGAAACTAAGAACGAGTGAAAGGTCAAGAAAATATGCAGGATCATTTATCTGGTTCCGCCTCCGCTCTCTTGACATTTAATGGTGAGGTCAGTCCAGCGTTAGAGACGACAGAATATCCTTTAGGCCGAGTAAACATTTAACTAAAAGCACACGGATTGCTTTCTTGCATATTAAATTACTGTAAAACACAACATTCGAGCTATACTCAAATTATATGGATGTTCTTGCAAGTCATTTTGTACATAAAAAATAAAAATGTGTCAAAGTCTGAGAAACCTAGAAGGTGAAAGGGCGAGGTTGTTTATGTGCTTAATGTATTCAAATTATGCTCTTACCTTCTGGTGGTCCTTCATTTTCACACATTCGATTAGATTGTCTGCTGACACTGTTAAACAAGAAAGTACTTTATTAATGGAGATTCCAGCATATTTTTTTCTTTTTATACAGTTTTTGCTTTTTGTCAATTATTTGATCTTGAACTTGTTTTGATCATTTTTAATGATTAAAGCAGACTGTTTACCAAGATGTAATGTGATCAGATGTGTGAAAAATATGTAATCAGCATTGGAGACTTCTCCAGAGTTAATGGATGCCATCTTAATTGATCTTGAAATTATTTTGATGTTATTATTTAAGTGGAACTAAAGCAGGAGATTTACTAAGATGAAATGTGACCAGAACAGTATGTCAGAGTATATTTTTTTCTTATTTCTGTATATACACTCACCTAAAGGATTATTAGGAACACCTGTTCAATTTCTCATTAATGCAATTATCTAATCAACCAATCACATGGCAGTTGCTTCAATGCATTTAGGGGTGTGGTCCTGGTCAAGACAATCTCCTGAACTCCAAACTGAATGTCAGAATGGGAAAGAAAGGTGATTTAAGCAATTTTGAGCGTGGCATGCTTGTTGGTGCCAGACGGGCCGGTCTGAGTATTTCATAATCTGCTCAGTTACTGGGATTTTCACCCACAACCATTTCTAGGGTTTACAAAGAATGGTGTGAAAAGGGAAAAACATCCAGTATGAGGCAGTCCTGTGGGCGAAAATGCCTTCTTGATGCTAGAGGTCAGAGGAGAATGGGCCGACTGATTCAAGCTGATAGAAGAGCAACTTTGACTGAAATAACCACTCGTTACAACCGAGGTATGCAGCAAAGCATTTGTGAAGCCACAACACGCACAACCTTGAGGCGGATGGGCTACAACAGCAGAAGACCCCACCGGGTACCACTCATCTCCACAACAAATAGGAAAAAGAGGCTACAATTTGCAAGAGCTCACCAAAATTGGACAGTTGAAGACTGGAAAAATGTTGCCTGGTCTGATGAGTCTCGATTTCTGTTGAGATATTCAGATGGTAGAGTCAGAATTTGGCGTAAACAGAATGAGAACATGGATCCATCATGCCTTGTTACCACTGTGCAGGCTGGTGGTGGTGGTGTAATGGTGTGGGGGATGTTTTCTTGGCACACTTTAAGCCCCTTAGTGCCAATTGGGCATTGTTTAAATGCCACGGCCTACCTGAGCATTGTTTCTGACCATGTCCATCCCTTTATGGCCACCATGTACCCATCCTCTGTGGCTACTTCCAGCAGGATAATGCACCATGTCACAAAGCTTGAATCATTTCAAATTGGTTTCTTGAACATGACAATGAGTTCACTGTACTAAAATGGCCCCCACAGTCACCAGATCTCAACCCAATAGAGCATCTTTGGGATGTGGTGGAACGGGAGCTTCGTGCCCTGGATGTGCATCCCACAAATCTCCATCAACTGCAAGATGCTATCCTATCAATATGGGCCAACATTTCTAAAGAATGCTTTCAGCACCTAGCCTGGTTAAAACCAGACCATTCTCAGTTGTAACCGAGTTAGGGTCTGGCAAAGCTTCATAGACAAATCATTTCCAAAGGGGCGTCACCAACGGACGTAGCTCAAATGCATCTGGGCGCAATTGGATAGACCTAAAACCAATCAGAGCGATGAAGAAGATGACGTATGCAGAGCGACGTTGGTTCGTCTGTTATAGAACAACTTGCTGACACTGATTAGCTACTTGCTCTACGTTTATTTAAAATTAACAGCAAGACAACTGGAAGTGAATGTGCTTTCCATTAAATAAATCACACACCGTAAATAAAACCTTAATAAAAAAAACTTTGCAATTTAGACGCGCAAACTGGGTGCCGGTGCTGTGAGACGTACGGCTCGGGCAGATTCGGCTTGAAGTCGTTCATCCTCGGATGCTGCGCCGCGTGCGCTGTTACAAAAAACCTGTGCACACAGGCAAGCGAAATGGGGTCTTGCCGGTCTTGCGCACCGAACGCGTCATTTTTGCCCCGCGCACCTTCGCGCTCGTGCGGACGAGTCGAGTTAAACAAGGCTTTACTCCGTGTCAGCGCGCGCTCTGACCGGTAAAGGGGGACAGACCTCTCCCGAATCATCTCCAGCAGTAGCAGCCTCCGATCGCACCACTAACTCCGCCTCCGTGGCCCTTGTAAGCTGATATTAGTATTTAAACATTCTCTATGATAAATGTTTGTGAAAAATAAATTTTAATAACATGGTTTTGGTGGTTATAGAGTTCTAATGACGGTGTTCAACTATAACCGTCACACATAGTTCCACGGCGGCATCCATCTTTGTAAATGTACAAAATCTGCTTCACCGTCGCTGTGCTGTCGTCATCGTGTAAAGCCCGCCCCAACGTTTCTGATTGGTGCCGCGATTTCTGCGGACTGGAAATGGGTTTCAATGAGCTCTTTGCCAGACTAACTTTCAGAGCAAATCTAAATTTGCCAGAAGTTGTCTGGGTTTTCCCAGGCTATTCAGCACCTTGAATTAAGGCAGTTCTGAAGGCGAAAGGGGGTCAAACACAGTATTAGTATGGTGTTCCTAATAATCCTTTAGGTGAGTGTATATATTTTTTTGGAACATTGTTTTTGTGATTGTGCGAGTTGTGCTTCGGCTCCTGCTATTCTGTGCAGATGAATCTGATGGCTTGAGGCGCACCACTGTGTCCTTGTATACAGGTCTTATGAGTGCAAATGTCACTAACAACATCAAAACTCCCCCACTCCAAAAAAAATAAATAAACCAATGAAGAACAAAAGAAAGATGGATATGCTAAAAATGTCTTACGAGCAGGTAAGTAACTTTTAAGCATCCATTGTTTTGTCTCATTAAAAACAATTGGTCTAAAAAACATCTATTCATATTATATAAGGTAAACAGTGGAAACTATTTCAACTTGGTTAATAGGCTATTTATAGGCAAATTGTTGCCTGCTGTTGATTTATGTTTTAGTACATGCATTGTCGCTTTCCCTTTGACCAACAGTCTGTTTTCAGTTTAAGGGTTATTTGTGGCTTCAGGCTACTTCGACAACTTGCACTGTAATAACCTGACCTTCTTTCCTTTATTTACAGACATGACATGAACACGTAAGGATGAATGACTGAAGTATCGAGGTTCCTGCTAAATCCACCCGACAGCTCTAAAATAAATATAATTATTATAGGCTTACAGTAGTGAAATTATGGTTTGGAAGATGGATTTGTGATGGATTTACTCACCATTTAAATTGTGTTAAATAAAATGTTACATTACTAGTTTTAAAGAAAAGACTGAATCTACCAATCTGAAATGTGACCAGATGTGTGAAAACTATGGCATTAGAATAAAAAAACAAAGGCGGAATTATTTGTAAGAATATTTGTAAAGCTGTGATACCAGAAAATGTACCAATACTAGAGTCAGTTTCCTCATGACAATTGATGACTCCATTATTACTTAAAGGTATTATTATTCATAAACTGCCTGCATGCACAAATCGCTTATGCATTTTTGTTTAATATTCAGTTATTCAGAGTTACACAAGATGATGTTCTGGTTGTTTTATTCTGGAGCAGACAGTTTAAAAGGGAGTAGAAATACGATTTTAATTACGGGTGTTAATCACATTTGCTGATGCTGGCTCTGAGGGTTCAGTCTCAATATGCTAAATCTGTGTTCAAAGCTTCGCAATGCCCTTTGTAGATTTGCCTTCCTAAACCAGCAATCTTGTGTGTTGCTTCACAAACCTCGAGAGGTAAAAAAATTAAAACACCCAGCTGGAATGTTGGGCTAACACACGCTGTAGAGAGGACTGCGAGGCTAAATCTACGCCTGTGTCTAAAGATATGCCCGCTCCAATCCAGCTCTGAAAACTCGGCCGCTTTATGGAATTGAAGAGTCTTTTTTCTGGTCTAGAGAAAAAGCGTGCACAGGGCCAAATCAGGTTTTGGAAATGCGTTCCTCCTATGCTCATGCCAGGATGGTTTGGAGCTAGTGCTGAATTCTAATGTGGATCAATGTGAGTGATGATAACCTGCTCTGCCTCGCTGCACCTCACAGACTGTGAGACAGTCCTTTCCTTTCCTTCCCCTACCAGTGCCAAGAGAGCGGAAAACACCACAGTCTTGGCACATGCCCTCTCCTGACAGGCAGTGGCTCATTAAAAGGAACAAGAACGAAAACCAAGGAGTGTTTAACACTCAATATCCACCTTCCATGAAAGTCAGAAATGATTCACTGAGCAAGAGCTGCTCCTTCACTATACGTAACGACCCCAATTTGCTTCTAGCAGAGACATGAGAGTCTGTATGACTTTAACTTGTTCTCACAAGGAAAGACTAAAATTCATCCCTCGCTGTGTTCCCATTTACATTTATTCATTTAGAATTTTACATTATTATCCAAAGAATCTCTGCCAACACTGAAGATCAGAATGCAAAAATAGAGCACTACTTAAACTCCTTACCAGAGTTCGCATTGTTCAGGGTGCTCTTCTCAAACCTGTGGGAGAAACAGAAACATCTGAGTGATTGAAACACTTTAAGTAAAAAAAAAAAAAAATCTTTTAGAGGATCTCTTCACAGCATGTATCTGAATCTAAAGTTCTTGATGCACACTCTGTGAAGCCATTAATCTCAACTTGAATCATCTCCTGATGTTTTTCCTGACGAAGCTGTTAAAATAATCTTCAAATGGTCCTAGAAAGAAAGAATGGCTACAATGCATATGCATACACACTCGTTTATGCCCTTCTCAATGTTCAGCATATCAGAGATTTATTGAGCAACAGAATAATAACTTCAAATAAGCTTGATAATATTCTTCTCTCAGAGCAAGAGATGAATTGAGAAGAGAGCCCAAACTCAATGAATGTCACTGCAATTCTATCTGTGTGACATAAACAGTGTGACATTACGTCCTGTTTGCCTTCATATGGCACTGGACAGAATGGGCATCTTGAGCAGTGCATGACAGTCTGACTTGACGAGGTGCTGACATATGATATGCCACTAAAAGTACAGCGAGAAGGATTCAAGCAGACTCAGTTCGGCAGACTCAGTCATTTTACCAGAATGGCTGTATGAGCTCTGAGGACGACACAATTTGGTCAGACAGATGACAATATCAGTTCCACTAATGCTCATTTAATCTTAATGTCATATCGTCGTTACAAATGTTATGTTAATCAAAATAAAATTGATAAAAATGGTATTTAAATAATACAATTTATCTTGAACTTTTCTCAAGCAGCATGTACCCTATTCAATGAAGAGCGTTTCTGCTTGCTACATGTAAAATTCTTTTTTAACTCCTCCCCCAACTGCAAGCAGGATATATCACCGATCGATAAGGACAGACGCAGTCAAAGTCGAACACACCTATGACGATGATGCCATCGTTGACACTACACCTCCTCTCTGTCTCTTCCCCCAACAGACCTCCAGCTGACTGGAGCATCTTCTGTGTGCTCTCACCTGAAAGAATATTTGATCAAAGGGTTCCCCACCCCACTAAGAAGGCTGGGACATTAAGGAAAAGAGACAAGTGGCGCACAGGGCTTTGGATCCCGAACTTTGCTAGAAGCAGTGCAGCTCTGAGACGGGTTTCTTGCCAGAAACACACTACAAGGAAATATGTAACAGCCTCTGACAGAAGGAGCCAAAAGCGGTATTCTTTACTAGAAAGGTTTGCAGTAAATGTAACTGGTATTTAGGAGAGGTCAGAACACAGTCAATTGAAAAACAATAACCTGTTTCACTTCAAACACAATGCCTCAAATTGAGTGAAACAGAGAAAGAGGAAAGGAAAGGTAAAGGAATTCATGACCACTTGAGTCAAAGCCACTAATACTGTTTCCATTGTGATGTCTCTACGAGTGATTGTGTGTGTGAGTGAGTGTGTGACTGAGTGAGTGTGTGACTGAGTGAGTGTGTGACTGAGTGAGTGTGTGACTGAGTGAGTGTGTGACTGAGTGAGTGTGTGACTGAGTGAGTGAGTGACTGAGTGAGTGAGTGACTGAGTGAGTGAGTGAGTGAGTGAGTGAGTTAGAGAGAGAGAGAGAGAGAGAGAGAGAGAGAGAGAGAGAGAGAGAGAGAGAGAGAGAGAGAGAGAGAGAGAGAGAGAGGAGAGAGAGAGAGAGAGAGAGAGAGAGAGAGAGAGATTTAGGACTCTGAGTGTGTCCCATAATTAAAGCAGTTCACAGACTTATAAATCTGGGCTGACTCTGACATGTCTTCCCAACACACACCTTTGCTGAATGTTTGCATGTCTCCTCCAGCCTTGCAGCTGAGGTTCAGCCTCCAGGCAGTGAAATTTGCTCAGGTAAGTGGATTTCAGATCCCTGAAACCACAAATCATAACTCCTCAGCTATCAAAAACTAACTCTATCAATCATAATTTATCTTTCAAATATAGATATATCATGACAAATGATGTTCATCAAAAACACTGATCTCTGGTCAGAGAGGAATGTTCAGATCAGCCAATATTTTCCTGTGTGCCTGAGAGTTCACAGCATCAATACAGCATGAGAAAAACAACTTGACCATTTCAAACTAATTCACATCACTGAACTTGCCGCGGTTACTCGGCATCCACATTCATCTTCAGCCATATCCATTTCGATACAACCTCTTCTTCCCCAGATGGAAAAAAGGCTTGCAGCTGAGTTGGGACAGTATGGGGAGTAAAGATCTGATGATGACACTCAATCCTCTAGATTGAGTGATACATGTGCCTGGAATCAGGCAAATGCATCTCTAACCATCATGTCGCTGGACGTAAAGCTGGTAACGGTTTAGTCCCCTATAGTGTAAATGATCATCCAGTGTTTAAACATGTCTGAACTATCCCTTGGTATGTAACCCAGACGGCAGCTATAATTACTGACGTTCCTCAGACTGCTTTCACAACACACTCACACACTCTAACACAGCTCTAAAAGACACTATAATAAGCAACCCTGCACACACATACACACACATGCTCAACAATGAAAATATAGCTACAAGGAAGCTTTAATGGGGTTATTGAGTTTTTGCTAGCTGTAATTGCTAGTAATTTAGCACCTTTACAGAAAGGGTAGAAATGTGACATTGGACCAATTATTTGATATGAGTCCAGAAACCCCTCATTAACTCTAGAAAGAAACGGCGATCTGAATCCGGACCGGCCTGGCATTTATTCAGCCAGATCACCAGCTCCCACAGTTCTCACAAATACGACAAATGGTATTTGCAAGTTTAGTTTTACTGTATTGATTGTGGACTGGAATGTTCTTCTCTAATCACCACTGAGATGTATGAGCAGAAGTCTTTTCTTAAACAAAACAGGTCTTAATTAGGGGTGCTTGATGGCCCGTGCTGTGAATAAAATACCAATAGTGGAGACTTCAATATACTTCAATATAGGAAGATTCGTGGGGTCAAAGTTCAGCTCACTAGGGGCCAATCAGACTTTGGCAGCATCAGGATCTCAGCTTGATAATGAAGACTGCGATGCCCCATAAACTGCCCTCAGCTGCTCTTGCGTATCTTTCCTTGCTTGCTTCTTCTCATCAATATAACCTGTATTATGCTCCTTCCAATTTACATTTTGCAGACACCACATTAAAGATGGTTCGTTTAAGCCTGCACAGGAAACAAGGGGCTAATCTCTCTTGCGCGCTCTTGTTTCCTCCTGTTGTTATTTGCTTTGAGTATCAGTGTTCAGATGTAAATCTGCCTCAGAATGCGAGCTCCTCATGGGCCCAGCTATAATTCCATTACAGAGGAAAACACAAATCCCTAATTTATGTATGACAGAAAAACAACATAAAAAATGTATCAATTAATTACGGCTCTCATTCAAAGTTAAACCAACGACAACAGAAACCTAATCAATTTCCCTGGTAGACAGAGATACAGAGAGGGAGAGAGGGAGGAAAGAGAGAGAGAGAGAGAGAGAGAGGAGGAGAGAGAGAGAGGAGAGAGAGAGAGAGAGAGAGAAGAGAGAGAGAGAGAGAGAGAGAGGAGAGAGAGAGAGAGAGAGAGAGAGAACAAGTTGCTGGTTTTAATCAAACTTTCAAGCATCTTAAGCTGATTTGAGGTATTGATGAGATGTAGAATATGGGCAACAGAAGAGATAGTGCTGTATAAGAACAGATTGGTAAGGTTTTCAGCTGTCACAATTTAAACAAGCTGTCTTTGTGCTTGTCTATACCATGCTGAAGCCATCTCTTAAAGAGCAGTTCACCAAAGAATGAGATTCTGTCATATACTCACCCTAATGTCATACCAACCCTTTATGACTTTTCTTCTGGAGACCATTTTGGATCAACACAACGTTAATCAACACTTTTTTTCAATTGTATGAACACTGTTCAAACTATCTTCTTTCATACTTCACAGAAGAAAATGGTCATATAGGTTCGGAATGATATGAGGGTGAGTAAGTGATCTAAAGATTTTCATTTTTGGGTGAAATATCCCTTTAAGATGGGCCGCTCAAATGCCAGATTCCGTTGTCAGCGCTTTGGACATATAGCGTTAACTGCTCCTCTGGTGACCTGAGTTTGATTCCTGGCTCGTGGTCCTTTGTCAATCCCATTTCACCAGTGCCAAAAAATACCAAAATATAACTTAAAAAAAAAACTACCAGATTCCACACAATATCATCCAAATGCAGAGCTAAGATACTAACAAATAAAAGAAAAGCAGGGTTTTAACTTGACACTACATCTTAAAAATGGGGTGCTCATGCAAGATGCTAAAAAAGCAGTGAGACGTGCCACAATGGTCAAAGATGTCAGTTTAGGAGATGATAACATGGAAAACCAAAAAGCAGCACATTGGAACACAAAAATGCATTCTGTGTGACTCTGCCCTTAGTCTTAAAGCAAACAGCAGTTAATAGGATGAAGACATCAAACCGGAGAATGCAAGACAAGACAAAACATGAACAAACCAGACTAGAAATGCCTATACTGGACCAGAACATGGTAAATTACTACTCTTTGCTCCACAGAACTGTACTTGTGTTTCGATTGTGTCTGTTCTACCCTCTAAAGTCGTGTCAACAGAGACAGCAGGGCCTAATAAGGAACAGAACAGGCTGGTAAAAATAATAATCAGCAACAGAAATGGTGTGGTCCTGCTGTGCTGGATTTCATTTCCTCATTGCAGCAATGACATAGTTCACATAAAGAAGAGTCACCGGCTGCCAGAAACTATCCCGACTGGGATTAAAAGAGTAGAGCTGCTCTTTGAACCCTTCAACACTAACATCTATAGTAGCTCTGAGAAGAAACAACTGACAGGGTACAGAGAAGGGAGGAATACAGAAACGTAGTCTTTTAAAGCTTTGTCTCACCTGCTGGTAGGTTTGAAATCGGCTGCTGTTGTATTTGAGCGATGAACACCCCCCACCCTTCAAAACAAAAGAATTAAACAAAAGACAACATAAATAAATGGGAATGTAAGATAAAAGGATGAAGACATTACCATAAACAATAATCTTTTGACATAACAGTGATACAGTACAAACCACATTTGCATTTCCCAAAGGAAATGGCAGCAAAGAAAAGTAGCATAGACTTAGGTTTTAGGCTTTGGTTCTGCATACTGTAAATAAAATGCTGCATTAGAGCTGCTTTGTCATTTTCATGACACTGAGCAAGCATTTTGTTTTATGTTGGCTGCAAACAATTCACACATGATCACTGTGTATTGTTAAATTGGCTAGACATTGTTAAATATATACAAGAGAAAAGGGCAAATCAAAATTCAGCATGTAAATAAATGTAAAAGAAAAAAAGACCAAATGAATTCAGTATTAAAATGTTGTGGTAACGTCACTGCTACTGTTGCATTTTCAAACTTACAATCGTCCTTTTAAAAAGTATAAAATGTACAAATACAAAAAATACCTAAAGAGTCTGTTAAGCAGTTAGGGCTGAGTAAACTGTAGAACAACCCTAATCAGAAAGTTATACAGTACAGCACATGGCATGGAAAACATTTAAACTAATAAATAAATGCATATAAAAACACACATAAAAGAAAATAACAACAAGGAGGGGAACAAATAAAAGAACTGAGGATTTGTGCATTGTGCGTTTGAGTTGGTGTGACATTTTGAGGACATCAAGCATGTGCATGTGATGTAATGTAATCCAGACACATTTCTCCATTAAATCTAGGGGTGGTTCTATTATCTCTTTTCTGGACAGATATTCCTCCCCTCAGGAGGGTTGTGGCCCGGACCCCACTGGAGCATATCAGTTCATGGCCAACACAAATGTTACATAATGGACCACAGACACTGGAGTTTCCTTTACAGAGATATTATTGACCCTAGGAGAAACTTAATAGGACCCAAAGAGCCCATCATTTAGGAACACAAAGAAGCGTGTGAGTCCAGGACAGCCCTCTGTGCTTTACAGAGCTGATTTCACACAAGAACGAGATTTGTGATTGTGGTTTCTGACTAGAGAGCAGTCAGGCAGTGATATGCCTTACGTCTTCTGTGCAGTGAAAGCTAAGAGTTCATGGCCAGCCGCTTTCTTGCATTTTTATCTGTGTAATATCTCTTGGCCTGTATCCAGTGGTCGGTTTTTTTCTCTGTATGTCATTATGAGGTCTGGGATCCTGTAGAGAATCTAACAGAAAACCTTTCTCATCCTCTCCAATCACACATGCATATACGTACACACACATTTACACGAAGCAGAGCCTAATATCTTTCTGTCCTGCCGTGT